ACTTAACATTAAACAACCATTCTGCTTGCGGTTCGAATCTTTGTTACAATCATAATGTGTGTTTGTGTGCGTATTTCTCTTTATTTGTAATCGCACACACACACACACACACACACACACACACACACACACACACACACACGCGAGGCTGTGTATGTTGTAATGGTGTGAACTAAATGTTCTTGTGTGTTTGCTGTGTGAGAACTGACATGATTAAATGTCATTAGCCTCATCGACATTATGTTTGGTCTGTTGGGGACAGACGGGATCAGGTGGACGCTCTATTGACAGTTTCAGACATGAGCTGCGTATCAGTGGGATTCTGCCCACGATAAGTGAGGACGAATCCCTGTTCACTGGGAGAGACGTTACTACAAAATAAAGCAAGAGGTCACTTCCACTGAGAAGTTACAGATACACTTTGATGATTGTAGAGGACCTCTTCAGTTTCATTGATCTATTCCCAGATAAATGAAGCCAAGACGCTTGTTAACTTCTCACATGACAAAGCGTTAAAATGACCATCACATGACAAGCAGCCTTTGTATGTCAGATCTCTGCCTCTTTACATTCGCCAGATGTTAGCCGATTAGCTTAGCTGAAGCACAGAGGCTGGAAGCAGCTAGCCCGTACGCAAAGCTCACCTATTAACATCTGGAGTGCTCGACATGGAGAACTGGCAAAGAAATACAAACCTGCCAGTTTGTATGTCTTTAAATCGTCATTGTATTATAACCAGGAGATATGATACTGTTCCCAATCTTTATCCTAAGCTACGCTAACTCGCTAGTTGATGTGGTTTCCTATTCACCACACGCACGGTTATCAATCTACTAATACAACTCTTGGAGTGAAATATTCCCAAAATGTTGAAAATGTTGTAAAATGCTGCTGTACTTTGGCCCCGCCCATTTTGGTTGGATCAGCCAGACTATTTTATGCTCATCTTCTCATAGAAAATACCAAAACAATTATCTTCATAAACCCACCTGGTCCTCAGTCTCCGTCCGTCTGTCACTGTCTGTCTGCTGGAGGACACAGGCCTGTCTCTGGGTTTCCCTGGTCTCTCTTCTCGTCCATCTCGTCTAACTTCTCTCCTTCTTGTGGTGTCTCCTCGCTGTTCCTTGACCTCGGCAGATGCGGGTGGTGAAAGCGTTCCGTAGTTCGCTGTATGAGGGCCGGGAGAAACCGGAGTCCCGCAACTCCATCCACAACTTCATGGCCCACCCGGAGTTCCTCATCAACGACCTCATCCACAACATCCCGCTGATCGACGACACCGACGTGGACGACGAATCAGAGCTCAGCAGATACCAGCACCTGCACCCGGCCCTCCGCAAGCCCCCGCCCCCCCCCCGCCCAGCCCCCGGCCCGCTCCCACCCCACCCGGCCCTACCGCCAGTACAGCCTCCCGGTGACCCCCGTGCAACCGAAACAACAACAACAACAACAGCAGCAGCGTCTGTTCAACAGTCACCCGCGGCAACCGGAGCCCACCCCCCCTCCACCAGCACCACCACGCCCACCATGGCAGGGACAGGCCGGCGAAGCCCTGCGCGCCCCACCCAGCCCACCGCTACTGCGTGGAGACCTCCTTGTGACTGAGCTGATCGTGGGTGGGGCGGGAGGGCAGAACGGGGGGCAGCGGAGGGCTCACCAATGACATCTTCACCCCCCCCTTCCTTCCAGCGGGCCGAAGGACGGAGGCGCCGGAGGGAGTGGACTTCAGCTCGCAGCGCCCTGAGAACATTGCGGCTGTCCCTCCTCACGCCCTCAGTCCCACCCCCCGACGCCTTCTGCTCCATCCGTCGCCCCCTCCCCGGGGAACCCAGCCACCCGGCCCCGCCTGACCGCACGCACACGTGTCCCACACATGCACGGGTCTGACGGGGTCACGTCAGGGGCGGAGCTTCTTGGTCTGCATCATCGCCACCTACCGACCTGCCATGGCCGCCCCCATCACCTCCTCCACCCGATCACTGGTGGACGAGTAAAACGCTTTAACTCCATCCTTCCGTTCACTTCTTCCCAAACACAATGGTTTGCATTCATTTTCACATGGTTTGTCTATTGATTTTCTAGTTGTCTGGGACTTAAAGTCATTCCTGTCTCTCTTTTAGTGTGTTTGTGATTGTCTTGTCCCTTCTGAAAAAACTAAAACAAAATAATAACAAAAATAGAAATTGAAAAGAAAGATATTGTTCATTTAAACGTAATAGTAAATAGTATGGCTGCAAAAGTTGGGAAATACGTATATATATATATATATATATATATATATATATATTTATATATATATATATATGTATATATATATATATATTTATATATATATATATATATGTATATATGTATAAATACATATATATATAAAATATGTATACATATACATGTAAAATGTGTATGTTTGGGAGGCAACCGCACAGAACTCGTCACGTTCATCTCTCATAAGTTCCATAAGTCCAAGTGATCTGTTCCCTGTAGTAATTCCCCTGCTGTGAGACGCTGTGAGACGCTGTGAGACGCGTGAGACGTGTGTGAGACGTGCGTGAGACGTGCGTGGGACATGTGTGAGACGTGTGAGACGTGTGTGGGACGTGTGTGAGACGTGTGTGAGACGTGTGGGACGTGTGTGAGACGTGTGTGACGTGTGTGGGACGTGTGTGAGACGTGTGTGAGACGTGTGGGACTTGTGTGAGACGTGTGGGACGTGTGTGAGACGTGTGTGAGACGTGTGTGAGACGTGTGTGAGACGTGTGTGAGACGTGTGTGGGATGTGTGAGACGTGTGTGGGACGTGTGTGAGACGTGTGTGAGACGTGTGGGACGTGTGTGAGACGTGTGTGAGACGTGTGTGGGACGTGTGAGACGTGTGTGGGACGTGTGTGAGACGTGTGTGAGACGTGTGGGACGTGTGTGAGACGTGTGGGACGTGTGTGAGACGTGTGTGAGACGTGTGTGAGACGTGTGTGGGACGTGTGTGGGACGTGTGTGAGACGTGTGTGGGACGTGTGTGGGACGTGTGTGAGACGTGTGTGGGACGTGTGTGAGACGTGTGTGAGACGTGTGTGAGACGTGTGTGAGACGTGTGCCACTCCGCCTGGTGTCATGCTGACGAACTGATGAGTCTGTGCTGGTTTCTCTCTTGCTGTCCCTAAAGCCATTGTGTCGTTTGTCTCGTCTCGTGTCCTCTGGACTTTACTAGTGTGTGTGTGTGTGTGTGTGTGTGTCTGCATTAACCCTTTAAATGCCATCAAACACACAACGCACAGGTGTCCCTTTACGACTCTCACATCAGACCCGCCTGCTCTGGTGCCCCGTCTCCATCACGGACCAGTGGCCTGGTGGACAGGTTTGACCCTTCTTACAGAGGTGTGCGTGTGCGTGTCTGTGTGCGTGTGCGTGTGTGTGTGTGTGTGTGGGGGGTCACTGTTGGATGACACAGATCACTCAGGCCGTCCCGCCCATTGTTCAGCTTTGGGCCTGAAGTCTCCACTAAACCAGTAGGAGCTCATGCGTCATCGTGATGATCAATTAGCTGTTTGAGACACTTGAAGGACACTCAGTCCGTAGTCACGTCATGCTGGGACACTTCAGTGCTCCATGTGACGAGTGATACCATTTTCATTCCTGCACGCTAAGTATGCTACGGCACGTTAGCTTAGCTTAGCTGGCTCTTTCTAAAGGAAATCACAACCTGCCTACTGCTAGCTAGCTCATCAATGGACACTGTATATGTCATTAGGTGGATCGGTTCCTAACACCATATCTGCAGCCCGTGAGCGGCTTAAAAGCAACTGAAACAAACTGGGTCGGTATGAAAATGTCTGTAATTTCATTTCCAAAAATCAAATATTATCTCTTGGTTGTCCGGAGACATGAACACAGGTGCTACTATATTAGATAACAGTAGAGGACGTCGTTACGCAAACCAGGGCAAAACATGCTGCATGAGCCCGCTCCGAAAATGAATCCCATTTGTAAAGCTTCACCTGCCGGGCCGACCTCAACATTCCATAGAACATTCCATAGAACATTCCTAACAGCCGCATCACATTCCACACCTGACGTGCGAGTCGTCCCATCCCATGTGGCACCGTGTGTGGCTGAACCGCTGACTCCATGTTTCCTGGGACCATGACTCGCCCCCCGCCCCCTCTACCCCCGCCCCGGTGGACCCAGTTGACCTCTCAGTCATCAGCCCGTCCCCCCCACCACGGAAAGACAATATGCAGAGAGACGGCCACGTGGACGGAGATGACGACACGCGCGGTGAGAGAGCGGACCGTCCTGATGGTCCTGATGGGTCTGATGGGTCTGATGGTCCTGATGGGTCTGATGGTCCTGATGGTCCTGATGGGTCTGATGGTCTGATGGTCCTGATGGTCCTGATGGGTCTGATGGGTCTGATGGTCCTGAAGGGTCTGATGGTCCTGATGGTCCTGATGGGTCTGATGGGTCTGATGGGTCTGATGGTCCTGATGGTTCTGATGGTCCTGATGGTCCTGATGGTTCTGATGATACTGATGGTCCTGATGGGTCTGATGGTCCTGATGGTTCTGATGATACTGATGGTCCTGATGGGTCTGATGGTCCTGATGGTCTGATGGGTCTGATGGTCCTGATGGGTCTGATGGTCCTGATGGTTCTGTGGTTCTGATGGAGGATGCTCTCTGGGAACACCCTGAAATAACTGCAGAGCCCCGTCTTATGAGCACCCGTCACCTCCACCATTGGTCGGTGGGTCGGTGGTGACATCGTATGGTCTGTCTGTTTTGACGCATGCATTTGGTATCATTGATGTCCCCTTTATGTGTTAATCATTGAGGACACTGTGTGCTCTGATGTCTCCTGCTCACACACACACACGCACACACACACACACACACACACATTCTGTTCAAGTCCAACCTGCTCTACTTTAGCACCTCTTAGCACAGCTCTTATCAATGCTTTCACACACACACACACACACACACACACAGGGAAACAACAGTCTTATCATCTAGTGGTGTAAATTTGACTCTCCAGTTCCAGCCATCTTTGTCCATCAGCCACGTTACATCACGTTGTGAGACCGTTTCACAGAAGGCAAAACACAATGTGAAAAATAATATATTATATTTATCAAAATTATAAATTGTACAATCACTTCTGTACAGATCGTCCAAATGTGCATCTTTGAGTTACTCGGTTTTCTTTGTTTATTTTGGGTTTTTTTATTTCTTTCGATCCTGCTGCTTTCTGTAAAGAGGGACAACAAATGGAGGCTCTTGTATATTATGATTATTTTAGAAAAAGACCGTTGCACATCCTCCCGAGCATATTCTGAGCGCTGTGTTTTCTGTCCGTCGAGCGGCCCCTGAAGTGTGCACAGGTTGAGAGATGCTTCTCGTCACCGCTCTGTAAATAGGGAACAGGAGATCCAGATGTTCCTCGGTGTGATCTAAAGGGCCGGGTGGTGCAGAGCTAGAGACTGCAGAAGTGCAATGCATCCACGCATTGTCAGGCTGCTCTTTTAGATCTACAAGTACACACTGCCATGTTACGATGGGAGGGATTCTTGTTTTACCTTATTCATTATACATACTGTTGTAAATATTGTCCCCTTGTTGCACAACGCGGAGCTGTTCTGCAGACAGAAAATGCAGCCTTAACTGTGCTGACATGAAAAAAGACCAAAAAAAACAACAAAACATAAAGACTATTGAATATATTAAAGAGTTACCTGCCTGTTATTTAAGCGAATAAATATCTATATATGAGAAAGAACACACCTGTATACTGTAGACTAAATCTGTATGGAAATCTAAGAGAATTTAAATGGAAATTAAGTCCAACACCTTTTGTCTGTATGAAAGAAAAAATACATCAACGTATTCTACAATAATAACTTTGACAAAGTCTTCGTGGTCTTGTGTTGTTTGTTCCCAATGATGCAAGACTGTAACCAGCCCCCCAGCAGGGCCTCATTCTGAGGAGGTTCTTCTACGCTGAAACGGCCACATGAATTGAAATGAAGCGGTTGCAGTGTGTGTGTGGAGACACCAGCAGACAATTGGAACATCCAGACCCAAGTTACCACCAAGTTACCCAAAGACGTCAGGCAGGAGCGCTGATTCATCAGGTCACCTCTTCCCTTAAAGGGTATCGAGTCATTCTTAGTTCCTGATTATTGTAACACGTCTCATAACTATTGAATGAAGCGCTCCTAAGTCGTGCATGAGGTGCTACTCAGTGTTGTGCGTTCCTGATGGTTAATGACGCACACGTCTCTGACCAACGCGTCCATAGAGGGATGTGGCCGGCGAGCGGGACATTTGGACACATGTATATCATCAAACCTTCCTAATGCTCCTGGGAATCAGACCTGTTCACAGCAGATCCGTCTCCTGTGAGAGGAACTAGTGGCTGTGTGTTTCTAATGAACACAGCGCTTACAGGCAGCGAGGCCGCACTTCTTTCACCACTTGGACATTCTAGAGATTTGATTTCAAGGTTGTACAGATTATTTTTAAAGCCATGGAAAAGACGAAACCCTCGCAGCAGGTCCACCTGTAGATGGCTCAGAAGAAACTAGATGGAGCGACCGAGTCAACGCCTTAAATCAGCGATGTGAGGTCTCATGGCCGTTGACCCGAACCCAATAATTTACAAACCGCATATTCTATCGAAAATAAAGAAAATAAGAAGCCAGGAAGGAGGCAAACGTTTTCAGTCACTTTAGGATTCAGATTAGCTCCTTCTGGTTTGTCAACAAAGGCCTTTTACTTTTGAACAAAGTGCATTAAGGAATCAGCTTTGACAAAAAGCTTTGATGCTTGAAATTCTTAAAAACACTGATGTAAATCGCGGCCGTCGTGCTCTTAGTCTTTTCTTTAGTTCTAACCAGGAAAGTAAGTGAGTGCAGGCGGCGTTTGGAATCCTTTCAATGCTTTACCTTCTGAGTCCAGCACCAGGACCCCGCGGCCTCCTTCGTGTTCTCAGAACAAGGTAAGCGATGAGGCCCAGCAGGTGTTCAGTCTTCAGGTGAAACCCGTCCGTGAGTCAGGACGCCAGAACAAACAGCGCGTTCATTTAATGACACGCGGTTCAGGGACGGCGGCCGTGTGCACACTGTAAAGCCCTCTGGGGACCATCAGGGAGACGGGACACAGCGTGTGCTGGATGGATGGAACCTCTTGTATGTTTTAAATCAGTTGGACGAGTCATTTTTCTTGATTTCACGTGCGCATTAACTGTTGTATTTACCTTTATACCAATATTACCACAATACTTCACTACCAGATATATGTCTATTCATGTACACACCACAGGCCACTTTAGTAGGTACACCTGCTAAATTGTTTGCTAATCAGCAATGGCAGCAACTCAATGCGTTTGTGCGCGTAGACGTGGGGAAGAGAACGGAGGTACAACGCGAGCATGACAACGGGGTAGAAAGGGCATCACGTGACCTTAACGTGGATTGTTGGAGCACGTCACTGACTGCTCATCTACACAGAAAGGCCCAAATAGAGAACATTTAAGTGAGCGACACCACATCTCAAGCCAATAGACCTCTGGGACGTGCTGCAACGGGAGCTTCAGCAGCTGCGTGACGCCACCATGTCAGTACGGACCAACATGTGTGAAAGTGAAAGTATGCCAGGAGGAACCAAGGCAGTGCTGAAGGCAAAAGGGGTCCAAACTCTCACTAGTACGGTGCACCTAGTGACGTGTCCGGTGAGTGTTTGTCAACTAAAACAGAAAACATCAGGCTGTTCTATACACCGCTTTTTTTCCCGCTCTTAAAAGCCTTTAATTTTCTCAAAAAACGACCGTGCGTCTTATAATCCCGAGCGCCTTGTATGTGGATCAATTGGTTGATCCACACTGGTTGTACACGGCTGTCAAAATGTTTCAGTATGAAAAACCAATAATAATAAATATGTTTCGGTACGACTGGTAAACTACAAAATGTGTGTTTGAGTCTTTCACAAACTAGTTATTCCGCCCTTAAGTCTTGGAAATGGGGTCTCCCTTGTTCCACCTTCTTGCGCGAGCGGTCACGTGCTGCACGCGATGCAACTGAAAATGAAAATGTTTTAAATAGGTCATTCTTTGAAGGTGCGCCGTATAGTGCGGAAAATACGGTAATCGTCATAAGTCTTAACATGCTGAACATGAACGCACTTAAAATGTCCCAATGGTCAAAAGTACAATTTGTTACAACTCCTTGATTTTTAAAAAGATAAATAGTTAACAGGGTCGAGCTAAAGCTCAAACGTACAGATCTGACAAGATGACGCACCAGTCAAAAGTTTAGCAGACATTATGGAAGGTTAATTAAGTACAAAAGTGAGAGGCAGCACCTCTTATGACCGATCCCGTCCCTCCTGACTGCTCCAACACGTCTGTCAATACACAACACGCGTGTGCTGGTAATGAAACGCAGCTCCGTGGCTGGAGCGTCACTGTAACTAAAGCACAGACCTGCTGGACTAACACGCTCACAACAGTCCACGGCTTTGTTAGTCCGTCCTGCTCAGCTCGTCTACGGCACACTGGATGCCACTGGTTCCCTTTTAAACACGTTGTGGTTTGGCCCTTTTCCCTCCCTGCAGTCATTAAATGATCCGTTGAGCAGATGTGGTTGGTGCGCCGGTTTGCGTCCCCTCTGGTGTGAGGTAGGACACGCGTAACGGTTTGTCAGACCGGTCCAGGCCCATGAAAGCCCCCCAGCACATATAATCCACTTTGTTCTTGGGCAGTAGGAAAACTTAAAAATATTACTTAAGTGATAGTTCAGATTTTTAGAAAGTGCATTTGCACGAACTACTTCTCATTGTGTTACAACGGCTGTCTGAGCAGCGCTCGTGTTCCCAGAGAAAGATGGACTAGTTTGGCAATGGTGGCTTTGAAAAAGGAGAAGTGGAAACTCTCTGCAGCAGTACGACGCTTTGCTTCTGTGCCGGTTTACCTACTGAGGTGATGAAACACTTAGTGACGTGAACCAAAGATCCGAACCATCCCTTTATCTATGGATACATTCCACTTAGGGAGCCACGGGGTGGCTGTGCTGGCTAACTGGACACTAGAACACAGCTCCCACTACCCAATTCACCAGAGCTTTTCTAACGCCGGCAATGGAAATGGTCCGTCATAAAATATTATTTTAAAGCGTTAAAGAGAGACTGACGGATGCTGCTATGGCTTGAAGTGAATGGGCAGGACGAGGACTCCCTGCATACCGCACTGCTTTGTACCCATCAAATGAGGTTGTGGTCATTAGTTTTGAAAACCTTTACCAGACCAGGAAAAGTAAGACCATTATCGGCAGAGAGCTTGCTGTTTAGAAAGAGAAAAAGAGATGCATTAATATCAACAGCACAGAACAAGACACAGTAGATATTAGTTACTCAAATCTTAATGAAAATATGATTTATTTGTCCAACATCAGGTCATTTGCCTCAAACAATATGTATTCAAATTATATACACATTTACATTTAGTTACACAAAGATGGCTTTCTCACCACTTCGATCAGATAATTTGGGATGTATCTGCTGTACACATTCCAGTAAGTCAATATACACAAGACATAATAATGAGACTAGTAAATCTCATCACATCATGAGGAATTGAGCAGCTGTAGTCAAGCCCCCAAAAAAGCTCAATTTGCTACGCTGACAAAAGCTACAGATGTTGAGAATGAAATATGATCACGCATACCATTTGTTACCGATACTACCTTTAAAAAAATACCAGGCAACGTTGGCAGCAGCTTGTCCAGCCTCTTCACCTTCCCCAGCAGAATCCACTTTAGCATAAAGAAAAATAGGTGCGCTAAATAAAAACATTCTTATGTACAATGGTGCCGGTTCACAAAGAGATCATTCCTTCGCAAAAGAAACATTTTACAGTCTTTGTTTAACGTTTCCAATTTGACGGCCGATACAAGATCTCTTTGTGGAGCTTCACCCATATCTTAACATCTTAGTATTCATGATACTTCAAGTTAGATTTTAATTACAATCCAATAGTGTCCTACAACAAACAGTAAGTAAGTAAAAGACATTGGCAAAAGAAGTGTATCAAAACAGAAGTACTGAGGTCGGTGCTGAACTCCTCAGGCCTGTAAAAAGAACTAAAGAAGAAGTCTGTTCTGGTCTGATCCTTACCATGGAGTCAAGGAGGTAAAGGTGTTCAGAAAGCCACTCATCCCGCATGGTGCATCAACCATTACCTAGAAGAAACTGTCAACAAGGTTTAGCAGTAACGTGTACTCAATCCAGCATTACACATGCACATTCAGCAGTTCTTAGGTATCTTAACTAATTCAACGGTGTTGATCCACCCTCAGGAACGTTCGGTAAAGAGCCACATCACGTTCAGCCCCAATATCTGAAAACACAAAGGTACTTGACCCTACATTTTGAGCGATGTGCTCGCACTCTCTGCACACTTGGTGCAGAACTCCACTGAGACGTGGTTCTTGTCCACGTGCAGACACACGCCACCCGCTGTCTCTTTCTCCTCCACTTTCGCACGCTTTCTGGGCATGGCGTAGTCGTGGTCGTTTGAGTTGGGTCCCTGGAAAAGCGAGGAAGATAATTTCATCCCATTCACACCGCTCAGCCTGGACAAGAGCTGGGCTAACATGCTCTCATTGGCCAGCACAGCCCTCAGGTACCTGGTCTCATCTTCCAACTCCTCCACTCGCTTTGTCAGTTGAGAATTTTCATGTCGGAGCACGTTGTTTTCTGACGACAGGACGCCAACTTTCTTCTCCAAACTGGTGACATATTCTTTCTTCCTGAGGCGATTTAATCTAGCGGCAACGGCGTTTTTGTTGATCATGTGGCTTGACTGGCTTTGCCTCTTCTTGATCCTCGAGTCAGACGACGTTCTATCTGGAGAGGATGCCGTTGACGCCTCAATCTCGGAATCTTGGTCTTTGGCACTGAAGCCAAGATTGGCCAACTCAATATCGAAAAGCGAGGAGGCGGTTTCTCTTTCAAGTGTCCATTTTAAGTCTTCAATTCCAAACAGGTCATCTAGTTCTAATCCAGCGTTGCTCATATCATCACAGGGGAAACTCTCAGGCGGACTGGAGAAACCTTTGACAGTTTCCACCACTTCGACTTCCAGGGGCTGAACCGCTGTGTGGTTCACAGTGCGTCTCCTCCTCGTTATCATTGTGGTTTGTCAGTCAGACTGCGAAGAAGCTGTCCAGAATATCCTGTGAGATTCCTCACCTGTGGAGACAACATACTTTCAGTGTGTAATCTTGCAGCAACGGGGAAACGTACCACTGTTAAGTTAATCAGTATTATATCCACTTCATCATAACGGGCTGAAAACAGGCGACACGTTTATCTCAGATAAAACAGCTTAGTGTGACAACACTATTACATATAGTGTACTATATGTATAAGTATACTTGTATACTGTATTGTATACTGAATGGACGTACTACTACTGTAAACGTTTATAGCATTATTTTGGCTCTGGTTAGGTGTGGTAACTAGGTGTGGTAACATGCAGCGGAGACTAGCGAGGCTGCGCGTGTCTAAACGTTTCACCAACGTAACGTTGAGCGACTTGTAGCTTGACGAGGCCTGCTAGCATTGCTACCCGAGGTTAGCACGGTACGGGGTTCAACAACAACGCTGTAACACGGACCCTGCCACACACAACGTGCCTCGGTGCACAACTCTACCACGATGTGTAGCATTATAGGTCAATAAACGACCGAACGAATACACATTGCCGGTTTATGTCATAAACCGGCAATGTGACATTAGCGTTAGCGTCCTAGCTAGCGCTAGGCCTCAATGGCTAGCTGACAGGATGCTTCAATGTTCTGATGAATTCAAAAACATCTCATCTGACGTTGCATACATTGGCTTTCGTTGTCTCACTCGAATAGTTAACGTTAACATCGTGTGCCAGTTAAACGAAACGTGTTCGCTCTCATTTCGGTCAAGCTAACGTTAAGCTAAAGCCATGCGCCGTCAACCAAGTGACGCTAGCGTACCGAGTGACGCAGCATGTTTTAGCGGGACTTCTTCTTCAAATAACTTACCGTTCCGTTAAAGATGCTTTGACACAAACCGAACAGGAAAGGACTGCGACACCGTCCTTTGACCAACCGGCGCCGGTGACAGAATGCGTACCGGGACGCTACCAGCGGAAAAACAGGACAATGGCGCGTGACGCGGCTCCGCTCAAAAAGTAACTCTGCGGGAGACTTCCGGTCAAGTTTTCAAAATAAAAGTCTTAGAGAACTTACAAATGCAGGCTACTATGTCTCAGTCATATGACCAATTACACAACACCTGTTAGAGAAAACAAGCTTCATGAAAGTATTCATTACATGGCTGTTTCTTTTATACAGGTGCTTCTATTTTTTCAGGTCTCCATAAATGTGCTTACCCTGTTGTAATTATGCACGATTATATTCTTACGTTTGAACTCCTGCACATTTGTATATAGTTTCTCCACATTATAAATACTTTCCAAACATCCATCCCATCCATCCATCCATTGTCAAACCGCTTATCCTGCACACAGGGTCGCGGGAAACTTTCCAACTTTACTTTACTTTCCAAACATCATGAATCTTAACACTAAACAAAAACAATACACTCACATGGCTTTGATCAAATGTTTTATTAACTTTATTAACACATGCACTAAAGAAAATGTATTACACAAAATCACCTTGTGCTTTACAACAATATCCCTCTGCTGGAGTTTCAACTAAAATGCATTTTCCACAAAACCCTTTGTAGCGGCGACGTCACTGCGCACCTTCATAATGAACCACATCCAGATGAAGTCTCAGATTATTCTCTTTATAAGGGGACACATATGATGCTCCACATGCCTGCATTGGTACCACCTGATTAAAATGCTAGAGACAGCATGAAAATGTCCCACATGCTTTTAGATTTGGGCTGCAACTACATGTAGCGTTCCATATTAACTATACTGATGATGGTTTCTTTAATTTAAAAAAAAAAAGAAGGTAGAAACATGAGGGGGAACATTTTTGGGACTGGCAGTTAGTTGAGATCACTTTGTGAAAAAGGTGGAAAAATATTATGGACTTCTTGTCAGTAACATCATTTGTGATAGAAACACAGCTGCTGTCCTTCATGTATGAAACCCGAAAAGCAACAATTGATCACATTTAAGATGCTGAAACAGTGACTGATCAACTATTCAATTAATTAACTACTTTCCATATTTCTTACCTCAACAAACTGCCTGGTACGGACGTTGACCTATTTTGAGCATTTTGTCTCTTATGGAAGTTGCAAAAGAAAATGCGTTGATCAGTGTGCCGACAGCTACAGGAGCTTATTTCCCAGCTTCATAACATCTCAAAAAAGTTGCAGTCCAGACTTGAGTTTATTGATGTCACTGGGGTTCCAAAGAAGGCCATCAGCGGTCCTCCCTGCTGCAGAGGCTCCTGGGACGTTGTGCGCCGTGCTGCTCTCCACTGGCTGGTCAAAGACGGTCATCGCGGAGTAGTTTTCCAGCATGAGGCGCGAAGGGTCATCCGACTGTCCGGGGACTTTGCCGAGAGGATGGTTCTTCCACAGCACCTTGTCGCTGCACACCTGCCACGGAGAGCCTCGGAGCAATTTGGCCTTTTCAGCATGAACATCTGCCCAGTTGTTGTCACGGGAGGACTCGCTCCTCTCCGCTTCAGCCGCAGAACGCCACTGATGGCCGAGGCGCCGCGAATGTTGCAGCTTCTCGTGCAAGCTCTCCAGTGTGTACACGGGCTGTTTCCTCTGCAGAGGAGCGCCGGGCTCGCAGTCTGCACTCCGTGTGTAGATGGAGCAGAGCTGGAGCAGCCGCTGCCGGGTTTCCACAGGGAGAGGATGCTCCATATCGTCCAGGATCAGCTGCAGCAGGTGAGGCGTGCTGACACAGGGAGCATCCAGGCATGCCGAGAGCAGCTGCTGCCACCGCAGCTGGATGCGGTTTACGAAGACCCGGTCCTTCATTCTCGCCCTCCTCCGTCCCTCCGTTTCATAGTGGTACTCAAATTTGTTGCTGTTGCAGACAATGATTTCTGAAATCCACGCCGAGATGTAGAAAGCCCTGTGAGCATTCTGCTCGTCGGAGAGCAGCTTCAGCTCAACGAACAGCTTCTCCAGGAGGAGATGAATAAAGAGGGGGGAGTTGAGCACCTTCAGGAGCGGCAGCCAGAAGCGGAGGAAGGCTTGAGGAAGTCTGGGTTCGGTGGCGCCGCCGTCGCCAGAGGGGTCGCAGCCCAACGTTTGCAGTTGTTCTGCAGTCGGAACTAGAAATCCGTCTTCCAGCAACACGTCAATCAGCCAATTACTTGACTGCAAAGCAAACTGCTTGATCTCGCCCAGCAACCAGCTCATGTCTGCAAAGGGGGCCGGCCACAAGTTCTTCTCTTTGTCCTCAGCATGTCCGCCGAAAGCCTGGTACTGCTCCTTTTCAAAGGACATCAGAAGGTCCCGCGCATTCGTGTAGGCTTCCATCTCCTCCTGCCTCGCGATGAGCTCATCCTCCTGGCACTTCAGGTCCGCCTCTTCATGCTCTCCGTCCGACTCGGACTCCCAGCCCTCATTGGGCCCTCCTCCCAACTGCCTGGACCAGTACGCCTGCTGGAGCCACTCCAGAACCACCGCGCATCCCTTTCGGCACCATTGTAGGGTCGGGAGCTTCCTGTGCGTCACGGCGTGCCTCAGGTCCACCACCCACTCGGGGATGTTCAGGTGCCCCGCCAGCCGCCTCAGCGGGCGGGCTGTTTTCCCCTGCTGTCGCTGCGTGATCAGATTGACGAACCTCACCAGGCCGGCCCCATAAAGCAGGACCAGATCGTCTCCGTCCAGCTGTCCCGACCTGTCCAGCACCTGGCACCGCACCAGGTCCGCTGTGCAGTCCACCGCCACGGGGGTGCTGTTGGCGTACCGGCCTCTCCACGCCGACACCCTCTGCAGGGCGAACCTCTGCAGGGCGCAGTCCTTGGAGTACAGGTACTCCAGGACCTGGTCCCACTCGGCTTTGTTGGCCCACGCCACCACGTGGCGCCTTTTCTCGGCGCTCTTCTTCTTCTTCATTTGGCGGCGTAAGAGGCGCGCGCTCGACTCACGTGATCCTGTGCGAAGCCGAGACACGCGGCGACGCACCGAGTAACACGCGCAGCTTTGTTCCGTCGGTGCTCAGCAAAGCGGAGCCGTAACCTCCCGGAAATGACGTGTTCACACCCGCTTCTTCGCTGGTGTTTCACGGTCTTAATGTTTCACTAGTGACACCTCGTGGCGGGAGTCGCCTCCTGCAGCGGGTCACACTCAGTCCAAGTGTTTCATTTATGAAGCCTAAACAGTCATGAATGACCCACTGCTGGAAAGACGACGGACTAAACCACCGTCTGGATGTTACTCAAACTATTTACGTGCCGTTACACAAAAGTGACACCACGACGTGGGGATATTAGTGAAAACCTGGACCGGTGAGAAAACCAGTACCAGTTTACTCTGATTTTACAGAGAGGGAAAAAAGCTTGTGTGTTGTGCATCAGCGTAGCAATGATAAAACACAACCAAAGCAAAAGGGTTAAGAAAATATGAATAGAAAAAATAATTGTCTAAGCAGAGGAAGTGTATAATATAGAGTGTTAATGCATTGGGAGAATAATCCAACCTCACTGTAATCACTACCACCTTCATTAATTACCCTGAGACCACAACGACATCCAGTAAGCTTCAACCTCATGAACCTTGTAAAGGTTGGACAGTAGAGAACTTCTTCCAAAGAGGGTTCTTTGGGCATGAAATGGTAAAACATGTTATAACAGTCTTATGCTAAAAGAGTGATACTTGTCTGTATTGAAGTTTCTGTTTCCGCTGTGTATGCTCGGACAAAAGGAAACTGGCTGCTAACCCATATTGAACTTTATCCTGTCTTATAAACTAGTTCTTTTTAGCCTTTGTTAACAGTTCCTGATGTGTAATTTCATAACCAAGTTGCCATCTCCCGTGTGCTCTAGTGCAGAGTTTTTCAACCTTTCTGGCGTCAAGGCACAATTAAGACACAGAAAAAATCTCACGGCAACCGGAAATGATATGAAAATCAATCCCAAACATAGTTTCAGCATCAGCATAATATACTCTAAGAAATCAGGGAAACGCGTGTTCTGTTTGTTGTGTTTTATTAAACTTAACATCATCCTAATGCCAAGATGGCACCGGCTTTATGGCCAGTATCTCTTAAGCCTTAATCTTTAAACTTTTTTAAATTGTCGCCGCTGCAAATCTGCCTATTAATGACGCTGCGTAGCGCCACCCACAGGCGGAGGGGAGTATTGAGCCTTCACACCACCAACAGCGCGACACACACACACACAAGTTGGCTATTTTTTTCACCAATGAAGTGACAGTATTTAAAACATGTTTTTTTCACGGCACACCTGACAGCCTCTCGCGGCGCACAGGTTGAGAAACACTGGTCTAGTGGTTCGGGTTCGCGCCCCGCGGGTCACCTGTCACTGGGTGAGTAAACCGTAAACTGTCAGGCTGCGGCCTGTGAGGGGCAACAGCATGCGGCAGACCTGCAAACCCCGAAGCAGCAGCAGCAGACGAAGATGAAGGAGAAGAATGAGAAGAAGAAGAAGAAGAAGGAGAAGAAGAAGAAGAAGAAGCAGGAGAAGCAGCAGCAGAAGAAGAAGAAGCAGCAGGCTCGTGTAGAAGATGGCGGCTCTCCGCACCGCGCATCCCGCTGTCCTCCGCGGGGCCCTCCGGCTTTACATCCGGGCACCGGGACCTCCTGCCTCGGCTGTCGGCCTCAGGCGTGTTAGTGACGCTGCTCCACAAGACCAAACCGGGGTCCCTTCGGAATCCACGGAGGAATACAAGTTCGTGGAGCGGCTCGTCCCGCCGTCCCGGGTCCCCGCTCCGCCGCCGCGCGCCGGTCCTTCCCCGTCCGGCTGGACGCCTCCGGCAGACGCGCCGCCGCCGCTGGCCTACACGGTCCGCCGCTCCCGCATGCACAACATCCCGGTGTACACCGACACGACGCACGGCAGCCGCAGGACAACGCTCGTGCGGAAAGTGGAGGGGGACATCTGGGCTCTGGAGAGGGACGTGAAGCAGCACCTGAAGGAGGTGATGGGGACGGAGCCGCCCACGCAGGTCAACGAGGTCACCATGACCTTGAAGGTCAAAGGTCATGTCGACAGTGAGTTGAAGGAGTGGCTGGCCAGCAAGGGCTTCTGACCGCGTGCTGAGCTCAGGGGGCAGATGGCTGTCAGGGGAAGAGGACCTCTGGGACCTGCTGAGAAGACAGCACTCATTTGAAAGCACATGGAAGAACAGCTTTAGTTATGGGCCCACGGCTTGGTAACATACCTGTATGTAGTGAATGTAACATCACACATAAAACTATTGCCAACTTCCCATTGCTGTGTGTGATGTTGTTACTTGTCTTTGTGAATCCAGACACAAGTGGGTTAGATGTCGTGTGTAAGAGACGCTTTGTTCCAGCTTTTCAGCGTGGAGTCCTTGAGCTTTAGTGTCCACCTGAGATGGTGAGTGAGGACTATTGTGTGTGTGAAGAGTGGAGCACTACGCTAACTGATGTAATGGTAAAACGTGTCATAACATGGCCTCATGCTAAAAAAGTGATAGCCGTCTGTACTGAAGTTCATCGAGGGAAAAGAATAATGGCTCAGAGTTGGTTTGCCGCTCTGTTAGAAGAAAGGTGAGCACCTCACAAAGCAGGTGAGCCAGTTTGGGTAAAGTTGAGGATGTGGTCCTTAGCAGTTCCTTTTCCTGAGCCTTTGTGTGCAAGTTGCATAACCTAGTTTCATATGTACCAGTGGATCGCTGGGTTTGACTGTGTGTGTGAATAAAAGCTCAGTACCTTGACTGCTCGGAGACATCATGCAATGAGTCTGCTCAAACTATCTTCACTATACTGCATCAAACAGTGCACTGATTAATGAGTATTGTTGTGTACATTGATGAATACAAATTAATCTTTGTGTGGTGAACTAATGTTTCTAACACAGTCATATTGGCCCCGGTTTATTTATTCATATTCATTAACTTGTTTAATGTTACTCTGGTATGTGCTTGTGTCACATTAGCATTTCTAGTGTAGGATATTAGAAATAAACTGTCGACCCGGTCCATAAAATTAATAAAATACATTCAGTGTACACCAGAATACAGCCATGATTCTGAGACTGTAATCCATAAAGTAATGACAATATTGTGAAACCACTGTAATTCTGCAACTGTAATAGAATAATACCAATGCAGTTATGATTGTATTTGATGTAATGTGATCAACTGGAATGCATGCATGTAATACTTGAACAACAACTGATATTGACTGAGAGACATTTGAAATCCGAGTCACATTGAACTCACCAGAAGACTCCCAGAGGTGTGGACACTGACTTTCACACCTTTAAGCATTGGTATAAATACCTGTAGGAGCCATTGTTCTGGAGTTCACTGGTGGAGGCGACAGACGGGCACTATAGGGGGTCAAAGGACTGACCTGGGGCCTGTTGGCTGCTGAGACCAGCGGCTCCTCAGCTGAGATGTTCTTTTTTACCACAACGCCGTCTCCTTTATTAAATACATTTGATTTAACCTTTTGATCTTCAATTTGAACACAACACTAGCATACAAACTTTCTATTGCGGGGACTTTTACTGTGAAAATGTGCGTACTTCCGGTCCAGCTGCTGCGCTCCTTTTCCTGTTTGAAAGTCAGGGAAGACAAACACGGGATTTTAGTTTCGATATCCCGTCGTTCTAAAATGAAGACGCAGCTTTTTGTCCGCCTCACTCCGGTTAAAGATAAGTGTTGTTCGAACAGCAGAAGAGCTTTTTAATATATGTTTATATATCAAGCGTTCTAATATTCCAACAATCCAGAAGAACCAGCCGCCATCATGGAAGGAGAGGAGGAGGAAAAAATGGCGACATGTTCGCGGAACTTAAAAGTAGAAACGGGTGTTTGTAGAATGCGTCGGTCGCTCTTCTGTAAGTGTCTCGCAGCACAAAGAGGTTCTGAGGTGAAGTTATCGTGACTTTAACTAACGCCGCTGTTGTTTAGGTGCGGTCCTCTGTGTCTCCGTCCTCGTGACTCCAGGGACGTGTTGTCTGTCCAAGGAGTACGAACTACAGTCCGGCCGGTGCTGTCCGATGTGCCACGAAGGTAAGCGGACACTCCACCAGCGTCTCCCCGGTTTACAACAAGTGTCGCTGCAAACAACACACGGACATATTTATACTCATGTCCATGTGGACCTGGATTACATTGAGAATATGGACAACTATTTGTTTCTTTTAAATCGAGTTTCACTTTCGTTTCTAAATAAAATCTAACGACAAATATATTGGGTGAAACTTTAAAACAATACTATTCGGCTAAGAAAGGTTACTGTGCACGTTTTAACAAATACATTTCTGAAACGTTTTTCTAATAAAGAATGTTCTCTATGACGATGGGGACATGTTAAGCTTGGCAAGATCCAGCTCCACACATATGATGAAAATGACAAAATATGAGTTTATAGGCACAAAGCCGGAACACCAGCTTCTGCTGGGTAGGGTAGTTAAGGTCAAATATTTATCTCTTTCTTTGGGTACGTTCACACCAGAAGCGAATTATTCGCGTGAGTAGAGTCCATGTAAAGTCAATGCACTGACGCGTCTGGTCGCGAATGGGGCGAATTTCAAACGGCGCGAATGACGCAAAAGACGCGGCGCGAAAAAGCGAAACGAGCGACACAAATAAATCGCTCTTTCGCCCAAAGTTGAAATATTCCAACGAAAGCCAATCAGCGTTGAGATGCTCCGCTCGTCATCACTGAACACACGTTATTAAACAGCCGCTCAAGTTAGTTAGTGTGTGACCGAGAGACGCACCGAGCCGACACAACAGGTCATCAGACCGGCTGCTGGTCCGCCTGAAGCAGCGTGTAGTTAAATGCTTCTATTGAAGCTCTGATCCAATGGGGTTACGTTAGGCACCTTATCTGCTGTTCTGATTGTTTCCCATCGTTGATGATCTGAAGGTGCTTTTGTCTTGAACAGGTTCAGTGGTTAAAAGAGACTGCACCCCTCAGTCAGGCACGCGGTGCGTCCCCTGTGTGGACGGGACGTATATGGACCAACCCAATGGGCTGAATAAGTGCTTCCCCTGCAGCTCCTGTGACCAAGGTACGTCCATAATCAGCTGAGTCACCTTTCACTCTCAGGACACCCTCCTGTTATTATACTGGACAAAATTAAACCGAATAAAAGACACAAAGCAACTATTTGCCACCCTGGTAATGGATGCAACTTGATTCCCAATGAATCTGATGATGTGCTGTGAGGTTGATGCCACGTTGGCTGTAAAGAGGACCGTAGTCATTGTGTTGTAGCAGGTAAGTGTTTTATATGGAGCCTTGAATGCAGCACATTGTATATCTGTACAGTTTATTATCAGTGATACAGCTTATTGACATTATGAACTAACAATACAGTAAATGTATCAATGTCCACCAACGTTGTCTTTAAGTGGAAAAATGAGTGATGTAATTACAAAGTGACTTGCTTTATCTTTTCTTAGTACATTTACTTACCTGTCTGTCACGTTTCACAATGTGAATTCCCTGCGTCTACATTCAGTTTTTATTTTGTGACAGACTTCATATAATACAGCTCTTTCTCTTTAAGCTGTAAGGTAGTTTTCCATCGACCTCTCTGCTCTTCTGTCCGTCTCATATCATTCAGTTCATTTGTTGCAATCCGCTGTCCAGCATCTTTGTTTAACTATAATATAATGAGTCTGTGTTGGTTTTCAGGCCGTGGTCTCTTTGCCAAACAGAACTGCACATCAACAAGTGACACCGTCTGTGACGTCATCGCTGGTCACTTCTGCACGGACCTGATAGAAGATAAAGAATGTCGTTCGGCACACAGACATTCAGACTGTGAACCTGGTCACAGGGTCAAAGAGCCTGGTGAGAAAAACTCCAGTCACACAGTGACTACGTCCACGGCTCGTGGTGGTGCAGCTGGTTATTGATCTCTTTGGCCACAGCTGGACCACGTCTGTGACTCATGTCCATGTCCAGCACACCTTCTAGGTCTCCTCCAGTCTGGTCTCTGAGGCCTGAACTCTTTCACTAGATTCAGCATGCAGACACCACGACGTATACGAGGATAAGCAACGGTTCTTCTAAGTACAGCTGCAGTAAACATGATCTCTATACTCCAACTGGCCTCCTCAGGTCACTTACAGCAGGATTTATTGAGCCTCTCGGGTAGCGTGAACGTCATCAGGTCTCGGGTACGAGTGTGCATGAGCACTCCCTTGATGAACACATGGATCTGTTTCATGATGCTGGTCGTTGGGTTCCTGTGTCGTTCATCTCAGCTTTGTCTGTTTCTCCAAGGGACCAGAAGAACTGACACAACGTGTGAACCTTGTCCCGCAGGCAGTTTTTCACCGCAGGGTGTGAATTGTTCACTTTGTACCAAGTAAGACCTTGTTTGTTAAAGAATGTCTGTAAAAAGTGTGTTGTAATAAACGTATAAGCAGAGTGATCCCACTATGCTTATACGTTTATTACGTTGACCAGTAGTCAAGTTTCCCCTGAGATGGACCAACCCCCCATCGGGAGATCCAAGACGTCACCAACCCCCCAGGCCCGTTTCATTTGGTCACTTTCAATACATCTACAAGCGTTCCTGGTAATGTTCCGTTTTTAACACCAAAAGCACTAAAGCTCTTCTTCATTTCTCTTTTTTGACAGTTGCTCAGAAAACCAAGTGGAGGTCAAAGGAGGAAACCTGACCAGTGACACTGTTTGTGAAGCTGCTTCAGGACGCCTTTACTGGTTAATAGCTGTACCTGTAGTTGTACTTGTAATGGTACCAATAGGAACACTGGTTGTCCTCTGGATCAAAAGTTAGTACTTGTCTTTGCAACCCTCATCTGATTGGCTGACATGACTTTGTTCCATCATTGCCTTCACAGCCTTATTGTTTAAGCTGATACCTTTCTTGCTTTTGTATTTCAGGGAGAAATCAAGAGAACCAACAGGTACGTTGGCTCCATATGCAAACGTTTGTCTCTCATAGGCTGCACCACATTAAATCTGCTCCATTACAGAGAACCTCCCCCCTGTAATCTGGGAAACAGGGAACCGTATTTTGCATAAGTGCGCTAATTGAACTCGTACGTTAACCCTCAACCTGAGCTGCTGTTCAACCCGTATGCCGCCCAGCCCGAGTGCACACCACGACATCTGACCCACTTCTGTCTCACTAATACAAGTAATAACAGCACACACATTCACTACATACAGGTATGTTCAACCACCCGTGATCCCATAACTTCAGCATCTCTCTGGTGTCTGGAGGAGTTCAGTTCAGTGGCTGCAGGACGAGCTGTTCTTCCATGTGGTTTGAAATGAGTGCTGTGGGACAACGGTCCAACCTGTTGACATCTCAGCAGGGGCTCGGGAGCAGCGTAGCATCTGAGGAAGAGACGTCGTCGTGTCTGAAGGAGGAGTCCAGTCAGGAAGGACCTGAAGGAATGTTGAGGTGGAGCGGGGACCCTTGAGTTGTAGACAGAAGGGAGGACAGAACTCCAGATATGGCCGCCGTGGAGGCCCAAGACGTTATCAGGACGATGACTGGATGCTGAATCAAAAGACCTCCCCCACAACGCCCCGGCTATACCCACAGTTTGTACGCATGCTGGAATTGTGGTGACATTCATCACATGAGGTGACTGTCTGGAGCTTTACAATCCATCACCACGCAGTCCACCAGCCAGCTACAGCAGCGCGGGGACAAGGACCACCGCCTCATCATCACAACTAGGGATAGCCAGAGGGGAAGTACAGGCTCAGCGTACTCACACTTATGCCCCTGGAAGAACCCACCATTACTCACAATGTAGAGCCCACTCACGGACTGCAGAGGTGCACCAGCCTCATTGCACCACTTTCTCTATGGAACACTCCAAATACCCAGCTACCTTGGACGCGCCTGACGTCATGTGCTCAGAGGCGTGGACGCTGCCGCCCGCACCGACTCTAACCCAATCACCACAGAACTCTGTTAGACCAACAGCATAGTTAGTGCACCATGATTGTCTTTACATGTACGTGTGTCCCCTTGTTGGGGATTCGTGGGTGGAGCCGGTAGACGGTTAACTACGTCTTGGTCAAAGGACTCGCTGTGGTCTGAGAATCCTCGGCTGAGGTGGTGACTTTTTTTAATTAAATTCTTTTGACTAACTTTTCGATCCGAGATGTCTTCTGTCCGTCTGGAGTTTCTTCATTTTGAAAGACAACAAACCATCAGAGGGCGACTGGCGAAGCTACACGGCGAGCAGCACGTCTCTCTCCGGCTAGCGGCTCTGCTGCTGGCGGCGGGTCCAAGTTGTAAAGTGGCTTCCTTGCATTTTCTTACGCGAATGACCGGAGATCGTTTGATTCTTTCCGTTTTGTCTTTATTTTACGCAGCAAAGCGTCAACGTGACAGATAAACGATGTGCTCTCGTGCCTCGTGCAGCTCTTCTGTGTTACCTGCTGCAATCATGACGTCATACATGGAGACACACAAGGAGCGTCAGTCCAACATGAATGTTTCCATATCTCACATATCTTTAGTTCCAATGACCATAGATTAAATGATTAATACTTCCCAAATTCCAATGAAGTAATGCAAGCACTTCTGGCTCTTAGAGACTGTGCATATACTGTAAACTGTTAACAGTTCATATATTGTCCATAAAGTAAAAAAGGTATTGTTTCAGGTACTGTTTGTTTTAGAAGTGTGTTTTTAGCACTGGGGGGTATTCCAGAAAGGTTTAACAAGCTCTGAGTCTGTCCTTGAACTAGTTGACTCACTCTGAGACGGGATGATCTGCGTTAGTTCAATCGACTGAGTATGTTCACCTTGAGTTGAGCGCGTGCATGACGATTATAAAAAGCCGTCATCAATGGAGCCCCGATACCACGAGTCACCATGACAACAGTAAATAAAAGAGCTATTTCCCTGCGATGGAGTTGGAGGTCCTTCTGCAGGTGAGCGTGAGCACGTATTTCACAGCTGCAGCAGCGGAGGAGAGAGAGACTGCGTGGGGAAGAATCGCTGCCCGAGTCAACGCGTAAGTTTGAATGAACTGTTCCATTGACATGACATTTAACCGTAAGATCATCGCAGCCTGTAGTTATGGATATAAGTAGGAATGAAATCTTTTCATTTAGGTGCAACCCAACAGGGACAAAAGGACCTGAGCAGCTAAAAATAAAATTTAAAAACATGTTAAAAGTTATCCATATATTGCTAGATGCACCTCACTTAAATTTTAATTCATTTTTGTAATTGACTTGTTGACTATTAAAGTAAATATTAATTCAGTGGCTACTTGAAATAGTAAATTAAACCCCTAATAAAATGTTGTTATTACACGTCTATTCACTTAATACCCCACTTAGGTATAAAATAAAAAAGTGTCTAAGTGTCTCCTATCGAAGTCATTTAAAATGTGACGCTGTAGTTTAGGGCTGGCTCAGGTTAGACGGACCAGCCCTTAGTTAAGCTGCTATAGGCTTAGAATGCCGGGGGACTTCTTAGGACACACCGAGCTCCTCTCTCACGCTCTCCTTCTACCATAATCCACGTTGTATTAATGCACATGACTAATTCAGCTTCTTTCAGGGAGTTTTTTTTGTGCTTTCTCCCCTATCAGGTCTCCGTAGATCGTGGTTCCTTCGGGACCCTGGTCCTGACACCTACCTTTATCTGACGGTGGTTCTACCTGATGGTGGTTCTACCTGATGGTGGTTCTAGCTGATGGTGGTTCTATCTGATGGTGGTTCTATGTGATGGTGTTTCTCTCTGATGGTGGTTCTATGTGATGGTGGTTCTATGTGATGGTGTTTCTCTCTGATGGTGGTTCTATCTGATGGTGGTTCTGTGTGATGGTGGTTCTAGCTGATGGTGGTTCTATGTGATGGTGGTTCTATGTGATGGTGGTGGTCCCTGCAGTGGTCCTGCTGTGCGTCTGGTTTACTACTCACAGTTACTTGAATCATTTCTGTCATATAGTCTCATGTATTATACGTTGTTCATTCTGTGCACATGACATCATTGTAGTCGTCCATCAGGAGACGGATCCTCCTCTGACGTTCTCACTGAGGTTTCTTCCCTTTTTTCCCTCTTGGAAGGGTTTTTTCATTGTTTGGGGAGTTTTTCCTGTGCCGATGGAGGGTTTCGGGACAGAGGATGTCGTATGTGTACAGACTGTAAAGCCCTCTGAGGCAAATTTGTAATTTGCAATCTTGGGCTACACAAAATAAAATGAAATGAATTGTAGCCTACACCAACACTCATTAAAATACTAATTAAAAAACAAAGAAACATTGAGTTTTGCTCAGCCAACAGAAAGAAGGCAGAGGCTCAAAAAACAGGTGGAGGGCCTCCTCCACCACCTCTGACAGAGGCGGAGGTCGCCGGGTGGCTGAAGGTATCCCTGAGCCGGTCAGCCCCCAGGATACAAGTGACTACATCAGATGCAAGTATACACTCCTTTAAAAAAAGTAAAACTTACATATACACCACCGTTCAAAACTTTGGGGTCACCCAGACAATTTTGTGTTTTCCATGAAAAGTCACTTATTATCAAATGCGTTGGAAAAATGAATTGAAAATATAGTCACGATATTGACAAGATTAGAAATAATGATTTTATTTGAAATATTAATTTTGTTCTTCAAACTTTGCTTTTGTGTGAAAGGATTTTCTATTCACATAGTCCCCTTCATCGAGTGCAGGCGCAGTAACAGGAATATGTGTTCCATCTATGCATCCTATCACATTTGGAAGCCCTGCAAAATGACAGCGAATTAAGCTTCTGAGGTCGCAGCAGAATGTACATCATAATTTAAAATAATATATGATTTCTACATCAGTCACTTGCAATCCTGTGGAATTCCTCTCTGATGGTTCTAAGAGGTTTGTGTCCGGGAAACAAGCGTTTCAGTGCGCGGGGAACTTTCCTCACAGCTCTACAAACTGCTGCCTTGCCAAAGTGCTCTGCAGCCCCGATGTTATAAAGAAAACCACCATTGGCAAAAAAAACGTGGCGCGATGCACAAGATTTGCTCCGATGTGAGCTCACGTCCGCGGTGTGCGAGTTTGGTGATAGACGGCCGGAGAATGTTAGTGAGATAAATGATCCCTTGTGAGGAAAAGCTGTAGCGTTCTAACAGAAATTCCTCTGGAAATGATAAAACGTCTAATCTGGGACGGAAGACTCTCTCGCGACGTAAAGCATTTCGAATCACGACGGCTTCGATGTCAATATATTTGGTAGGAACGGACAATCCATGTCTACCAGCATCTTCATGTGGGAGGAGACGGTAGAAAGGTTTCTTATAGTAAACCTGCCAGCGAGCAGATCATGTTCACAGAGTCTGTTACCATGGTGATTGACTCAGTCTGTTACCATGGTGATTGACTCAGTCTGTTACCATGGTGATTGACTCAGAGTCTGTTACCATGGTGATTGACTCAGAGTCTGTTACCATGGTGATTGACTCATTCTGTTACCATGGTGATTGACTCAGTCTGTTACCATGGTGATTGACTCAGTCTGTTACCATGGTGATTGACTCAGAGTTTCAGTTACCTCTATCTGGAACGGATAACTCAGTTTCCCTGATCTCAGGGTTAACTTACTCTGAGTTTTCACATAACCCGCTTTCTGTAACACCCCCCTGGTATCAGGAAAAACCCAAACGATACTCATCCATAGTCGATAATCGTAAACGTAAAAATACCTACTTGGGGCCTAATTGAATGGTGGGGAAATATGCCTTGGAATTCTCATTGTTAGTTTAAATACATTTTCTCACTTTTTCATGTATACACAGAGATTTCACAAAGTTTTTGGTCATGGAAATTTGGTTTGAAGTCATGGAAAAGTCAAAATGTATGAGCCCTGTATAGGTCTGAACCACCTGAAAAGAAAAAAAGGATAAAACTGCATTTTCTGCAATAACGGAAATGTCCATCCATCCATCATCAAACCGCTTATCCTGCACACGGTCGCGGGGGGGCTGGAGTCACCATTTTTAAATAAATGTTGATTGTTAGAATGTTGTTTAGAACTGGTAGTTTAAATTGAATACTATCATCACTGCTAATTAAAGTTTGAATGGAATTCAACGTTTAAACATAAGACGATTTAATTCCTGATCGATTATCATTGCAGGTGGCTTAGACTTTTACTTTCTTAAATTGGCTTTTGAATTGATTTTCATTTTAATTCTACATTCAGATAATTTGGGTTTTTGGTTTCCTTCTCTCTCCAGTGTTTAATCTCCGGTTTCCGGATTTTTATTTTTTAATTAACTCAAGACATAACTGGTTTGATTTTCTTGGACCAGTTCAAGATTGATTGATTGACAGATTTGTCAGAAGTTGCTGCATCAGTTGCTGCATCAGTAGTCTGCAGTTCTTACCTCCAAAACGCTGAGTCAAAAGTTATTTTGACGCTATCAGCGTTTTGATTTATTATTTTGACTCAGCGTTTTGATTGACTGTCTCCCTTTCAGGTCCAGTAGTTTACCGTGCGTTGCTGATTTCAGTTGGCAATCTGATTTAACATTTTTGTAGGATTCATTAATTTATACTTTGCATCATTTGTAGTTTCCTCAGTCAGTGACAGAGTAGAAACTACAAGAAAAGGGGCAGCTCAGGGGTGTTTAGAATACACCAGGTTGCATGATGGTTGCGCTTACGACTCAGGAATTGCTGGGTAGAGCCAGAGAGTGCATGACGGAGGGGGGTAGGGGGACTGATGATGGAGGTAAGAACTGCAGACTACTGATGCAGCAACTTCTGACAAATCTGATATCTGCAGCAGCGGAAGCAAAAAAAAAGACAACTGCAGGTGAGAGATGAACAGACCTCCTAAACTCAGAGATGGGCTGTAAATTGTTGAGTGCTGCTATAGAGTGTATAGTGCAGAGGTCTCTAACTCATTTTAGGTTTGTACCATTAAAATCATGGAGGGGGAAGATGGCCAGTGAGCAGTCACGTAACTTAGAGCTCTCTGCGGTGATAAACCCTCAATCATAATTTAAACAAATAGATTCAATATAATATAGAAGGGAACTAATAAAGAGGTCGGATATATGTAGAAAATCAAGTCAGTGATGATAGAAAAGGAATTTCAATGGTGAGAAGAACGGGTCCGGTGCGGAGCCAGCTAGCCTAAAGCAACT